GAAAGAGCTCAACACTGGCAGCTCTGTCACCTCCAAAAGGCTGACAAGTGGAGTAAGACCGATTTACTGAGCCAATATTAGTCTTCGTGTCATACTTCAATAATGCAACAACAAACCAAAATATATTGAAAGCAAAAACCACCTTTATTTTCAGCAGATTTGAGACTCAATAAACAGTAATTTGTCATAAATGGCAAGGTGTTATGGATGTCACTTGTAAAAATAACTGGAAATAACAAAAATATACTCTATATACTCAATGCAAAAATTAAATGTCATTGCTTTGAACAACCGGGATCCAGAGTGTTCGTCCTGCAGCTTGCCTTCTATTATTTTATTGCAGTAATTACATTTTTCTGTTTCTCTTATTCAGGCCACTTAAACCAGCTAAGACCATGCGTGTTGATGCATCTATTAGCGATTATATACACAGACAGAAGTGCAGTTAGTCCCAGATTCAATATTGAATAGGATTAACAGTAAGGATTAAAGGAAGGATTCAGGATTCAGGAAGCAGAATAAAAATGTTTTTAGTCAGTTTTATATATTAAGAACCAGAGCAAGTTCTCAATACCCAACCCTGCCTCCGCTATGATGGGTTTCTTTCTACACCATGTTTATATTTGTTCTTGTATCAAATGTTAGAACAGACAGTCAAATCCAGTGTGGGAAGATTTTGCCACACACAGTGGGAAGCAGAGTTGCCAGGTGATGCCAAAACCCAAATAATTATATAATGCAGAACTATCGTATTTTTGGACAAACTGTTGTAGACTAATTCAGACTGTGGCCACCAGGAACTGAGTCTGCAACGTATACGACTATACCACAGACTATATCACAGACTGTACCACAGACTATACCACAGACTATACCACAGAGCTGTGCTGAGTTCACCATGTTGACTGCAGTCAGATCTTACTACAGGCCAGTGTTTAAGTCTAGACAAGGAACAAACTATGCATCCTATCATGTAAGTAAATAGTTTAGTAATAGGTAAAGCTAAAGTATTTTGTACAATAAACCAGAACAAACTAAACTTGAGTATATTAAAGCTGCAATAGTTGATTTATTCATTAGCCTATCAACAGAAGAATAACCTGCACCTATCTTGATAATGCATTAATGAGTTATTATTTTTCAAGCAAAATGCAATAGGCTTGGACCATACCAAAGGAAAACTTAAACTATCCCAAACAACTGCTGTGAAATAGTCAGTTGTGATTTGAGGGATGTGATTTGGTAAGTTATGACAAATCCAGCCAAAAAAAACAGTCATTGTATAAAAGCACACCACCATTATGCATAGATATCAGTTTAGTTTTTTAAGCAACCAGAACGGAGGGCTCTGCATTTGTAGTTCTCACAGTCGCTGTGACACGTTTTAGACACAAAAATCACAATATCACAAAACCAAATATCGCGATACAGTATTTTCTAATGTTTCTTTCACCCCTAATGGACAGTATTATTGTCATAGTTACAAACAATGAAAAAAAATGCAATATTGTCAGGTGCAATATGCAAATCACAGACTGCACTTTGTACGATGAAGGTGAAATATGACAAGACAACATTATAATATAAGTACTGTAGTTCTGAAGAGAACCTGGCCAACTAAATCTACAGATTTAAGAAAACATGTTTGTTTGGTACAGACTGTAACACAAAATGTAACAATATCAGGATTTTAATTTGATACTTCCCAAACAAATCGTGAATCATATTGCAAATGCACTACCTGTGAAAATAATGGCAGTATGATATTTTTGCCATATCGTGCAGCTCTAGTAGAAACATGAGAAGCTATCAGGCAGGCAATAGAGATCTGGCTTTACCTGCAGTCACCTCGTTAGCTCAGTATCAGTAGACGCTTATAGCTCAAAAGCAATATTTATATATAATATTAGCATTTAAAGTAACATAACTGGTCATGAACACACAACTACATACATAGAAACACTTGTTGCTTTTATTTTTCCATTCAGGTTTATCTTTTCAGCCATTAGCACCATGGAAGTATAAAGAGAACTGGATACAGCAACTAGAGGCAGGGCTCCGTTCATTCCTATAAAAGTTGCTCCCATATTAATATATTTTGCGTATGCTCTATATGCACTCCGCTAACATGAATGGGGATAATCTGTCTTAGTCTTAGTCTGTCTAAGTCCAAGTCTAAGTCTATAAGTCTAAGTCTAATAATCATCCGGCTCTTCTAGACTTTCCAAATAAAAAATAATGGATTAAATTCTGATAATGAAACGAGTCATCTTGTGGCCGTTGTTCCACTCAAAAAAATGTATCTGCTGTACAGCCTCTTCTTTAACCATGTTTGTGTGCAGGAAAAAGGTTTTTTGGGCCAGTGTGCATCCCGTGATGGACCCAGAAGTTGTAATTACACGGTCTGGCCACTATGTCCAATTGGCTTCATAACTCGGTGCAACTCCTGGGGGCTTGATGAGCACCAACAACTAGCTTGCAGATGCAGCCACACAGGAAGGGCAGTAGACGTTAAAAGAAGCTAGTGTGACATCAGCCGCTAACGCATATGGGGGCATTCCTGTTTCCACCTGCAACACAAAGTAGCCATTGTTCACTTGTCCTGTGTTGTAATTTATATTGTTTTGGATATTTGTCATGCAAGAAAAGCCAGTCTTCTATAGGGTCAGCAATGTAATTTAATTAGCTGTGGTTGCTAAAAGTAGCGAGTGCAACATTAGCTACTAACTGTAACTAATGGGGGAACACTTATTGCTCTGACACAAATCTTACTGTCGCTTGCTAGAATATTAGCCACAGCCGGTTGTTGTGTTGGCTGCAGCTCTGAACATGGATAGTACATGCTGCCTTTATGTCCTGTCATGCAGACTGGGAAAAACATTCACATCAGGCTCCCATGTTGTAATTCCAAGTCGGAAATATCAGGAATTTCTGATAGCTACAATATTATTTTAAGTGGCAAAGTGGCTACAAAGCCTCCATCATTGACATCCAAGTAAAACCTATTATTAACACTGACAGTTAATTAAGTTAATTCAAATGGATCTTAACACTGTTTATTAGGATCTCTTTCCACTTGCTAACGAACCACTGCAAGTCTGTAACATGACAAAAGTAGCTAATTTAGGTTTAATTCCATTTATCTGGTGTGACCGCAGGGCTAGCAGTGGGATCAAATGTGCAGTTTTCCCATTCTTTCAAACTGGTATGAATGCAGCGTTAGGGTTAGGGTTAGTGTTGCGATCCTTAGACCTCAAATGCACTTTAGCACTGAACACAGGTTATTGAAGGAAGAGTTCAAAACAGTTTTCAGCCATGAAAATGCCATTTTTATGTGTATGCTAACGTTTTCTTTGCCAGTAACAAGGTTTCAGTCAAAATGTATTCCAAATTTTGAACGGAATTCCTGAAATGAAAATGCAAAAATGAATGCTTGTTTCTATCTGCTATTGTTATGCGAATACATTTAGGAATATCTAATGGCAGTAATCGAGTATGTTTTCATTAGTGTATAATCACCTGAAAATAAGAATCATTGGGTTGTTTTTGTGTACTTTAGAATGAGTGTTTTTAATCTACAGAGGGAGTGGGTCTTTCCATGCCAGTCCGCCATGTTGAACCACCATGTTTTCTACAGTATCCCAAAACAGACAAACCAACACACTGGCTCTAGATAGGTCTACAGTTTGTCCTTACACACCTGGAGGCTGAGCTGTATTCAAATGTTCATATCTGCAACTTCGCCGCAGGT